CTTCCTCCTCTCTCTCTGCCTGCCTCTCTGCCTACTTGTTATCTCTGTCTGTCAAATAAATAAATAAAATCTTTTAAGATAAAAAAAAAATCTTAAAAAAAAATAAAGAGAAGTTTATATATACTGTTAATTTACCCAGAAAGTTTTATTGTAAAAATAATAAAAATTAAATTTCAGCTGATTTATTCAAGTGATCATAAATTCGAGGTATTTCCATTCAAATATGTTTTGGAAGTTTCTCATTTTCAATTAAAATGCTGTTTTCTCTCTCCATTGCTTGAGAGTATACCCACATGTTAAATATGGCGATAGCAATGTCTGTGTGTGTGTGTGTGTGTGTGTGTGTGTGTGAGATTGGTGGGTGGGCTGGGCAGGGGCAGGGAAATAAAAGGAAACTAATGCATCTAATCTGATAGGGTAGGTAAAATCTCTTAGGATACTGACCTAAGAACACCTGCAAGAAACACAAAGCTCTTCCATGAAATGGGCCCAGACACTATTTCCAGAGTTGGTCAGCCTTAACCTAATTCCATTCTCTCCCTTCTCATTCTGCTCCAAACCAAGGAAGTCATACCATTCCCTAGTAAATACAAATGAAGCAGTTCTCCATGAAAAGTCAGGAAAACACATTCACCTCCAGTTACTGTAATCAGCATATGTAAAAGCCATATAAATGTGAAATAAATGAACTAAAGGCCAATCTTGCTAATGAATTTGATACAAAAATATTAAATAAAATATTAGCAAACAGAGGAGCGCCTGGGTGGCTCAGTCGATTAAGCTTCCAACTCTTGGTTTCAGCTCAGGTCATGATCTCAGGGTCCTGGGATTGAGCCCTGCATTGGCTCTTTGCTCAGCTCAGAGTCTGCTTGTCCTTCTCCTTCCCCCTCTGCTGCTCTGCCCCCTCCCACCTGCTCTCTCCCTCAAATAAATAAAATCTTAAAAAAATATATTGGCAAACAGAACAGAAAAGCATATTAAAATAATAAGACATCAGGACCAAATGGTATTCATTTCAGCAATATAAGGATGGTTCAATACCAGTGAATTTATTATGTAAATCATAGTAGTAGTCAAACTATGGAGAAAAAAAATCACACAATCGCCCCGAAGTGTACTGACGGACATTTGATAAAATTCAACAACCATTCATGAGTTAAATACTCCCAATAAAATAGGATTAGATGGCAATTTCCTCAGAGTTTTTAAGTTTATCCTGGTCAACCCAGAAGCCAGCCAGCATCATGCTTAAATGGGAAAACATTCACATTTAATGAGATGCAGTCTCATTAAGGTTAGGAATGTCATAAGGAAACCATATCACCACTTTTATTTAATATTGTTCTGGAGGGTCTAGAAACCAAAGAAACTTAAGGCAACAAAATAAATTGGAGGTATAAATCTTTTAAACAAGAGGTAAAGTTACAGTTTAAAAAATATTACTTATTTGTTTATTTGAGAGAGAGAGCAAGCATGAGCCGGGGGAGGGGCAGAGGGAGAGGGATGAGCAGACTCTTCGATGAGCAGGGAGCCTGATGGGGGACTCGATCCCGGAACCCTGGGATCATGACCTGAGCTGAAAGCAGATGCTTAACCAAATGAGCTACCCAAGGGCCCTAAAATTATCATTATTTATAGATTTGATGATTGCACATTTGGGAAGGACCCAGGAGAGGCTATTGGAAATCTTTTACAAGCAAGGAGAATCTAGCAAAATGGATGGGTGCAAAAGTACTCTATAGAAATCAGCACATTTCAGGTATACAAATAGTAGTAGGAAGATAGATCAAAAGATTCTATTGACCATAGCAATAAAAACTAATATATGGCAATAAACTTAATAAATATGCATGACCTATAAGACACAAGGTTTGAAATATTCTGGGGGCACCATAAAAAAGAGCATAGGGGAAGGCAATTCATATCATACGGTTGTGAATTCTTGCCAAGTTTATTTGTAAACTTAATCCCATAAAAGTAGTCATAGGGTTTTTTGGGTATATAAACAAGCTGATGTTAAATTCATACAGAATATCAAACAAGGCAGGAAGAGCCAGGAAGTTTTTGAAAGAGAGGATCAATCATGGGATACTCTTCCTACCCAATACATACATAGATTTTAAAAGGTATAAATATATAAAGTAACATAATTAAAACAGCGTGGTACTGATAAGTAACAGACAACTCAACAGAATATAATGGATGGTATTGAAATCAGTCCAAGTACAGGAATCTGATGCATGACAAAGATGTCATCTCACATAAGAGAGGAGAAGATGGGTTAGTCACTAAATTACTTTAGAATAACCAGGGAAACAGCTTAAAACATAAACAAAAACAGGGTTGGATCCATACCTCACATGTGATGTTAGGATAGTTTCCTGATGTAAAATTTAAATGTAAAAAAGTTTAAAACAAACAAACAAACAAGACTAAGAGCAACTATAAGAAAATTCTTCTATAAACTTAGAAGCAGCTCTTTCTAAACTATTATATAAAGCCGAGGAGCCATAAAACAAAAAACTGCTTATAACTACTCTATATAAATAAAATTTTTATATGACAAAACCCACCATAAACACAGTTAAACACAAATAAGAAGCTGGGAAAAAATATTTGTAATTACCATCACAAAAAAAGGCTATATTTCCCTTTTGATAGAGTCCTTTCATATGATTCAGAAAAATACCAACGACCCATCAGAAAACTGGACAAAAGACAAAGGTGATAGCTGACAGAAAAGGAAATGCAAATGACTTTTTAACATATGAGAAGATACTCAATCACCTATCAGACTGGTAATGATTAAAAAACAAATGCTGGGTAGCACACTGGTTAGTGCAATTAGGGAAACACCACCCTCGTCTTTTGCTGAACGAGCGTCAGGTGATGAAGGACGATTTGGCAGCATCTCTCAAAATCCCTGGTCCACAGATCCTTCATTCTAGAATTTCTACTTCCAGTACTTCTACATATGCCAAATGGCCCAAGTTCCCAGGTCATTACTGCAGTGCAGTTTACAACAGCAAAAGATCAGAAATAAACTTGCCATCCTAGGGGACTGGCTACCTACCTCCACACCCACACAATGGAATACAGTGCAGCTATAAAACATAAAGCTCTTTATGTGCTAATATGTGATGATCTCCAAAATAAAATTAAAAGTCTAATAAAAAGTGTGTCTAATACGCTAGCGAACTACCTTAATGTGAAAAAGAAAGACTATGTAAATTTGCTCTTATATGCATGAATTCTGTCTGCAAGAATGCCCAAGAAGCTGGTGATCATCATGTCTGTCCTCAGGGACATGACCCGGATGGCTCAGGGACAGGGAAGGGAGATAGGACTATTTATTCTGTGCATTTTTGCATCCTTTTATTTTAAACCACATGAATTATTATCTATCAAAAAATGCACAACACATCAAAGTTTACGATGGGATATAAAGGATGTAGTTAAACTCCAGCCTGTTTGTGCTTATTCTGAGCTTGACTGAAAATAAAGTCTCTTGTTAATCTATGTAGCTTTCAGATTAAGGAACCAAAGAAGGAAAATAATTTTTCACTTGAAAACTAAAGCTCTAAAATAAAAGGTAAATAAGAAAAAAGTTAACAAAAATAAATAAAAACAAAGTTGCTCAGGGATAGGAGGGGTGCCTGGGTGGCTCTGTCAGTTAGGTGTCTGACTTTGGCTCAGGTCACGGTCTCAGGGTCCTGAGATCAAGCCCCACATGGAGCCCCATATTGGGCTCCGCACTCAGTGGGGAGTCTGCTTGAGATTTTCTCCCTCTGCCCCTTCCACCCGCTCATGCTCTGTCTCTCTCTCAAATAAATAAATACAATCTTTAACAAAATAGGGATAGGAAAATCACAGTTTGTTTAAAGCCAGCAAATAAGTATCAACAACAACAAAATAAACCATGTGAGTGTTTAACTAAACTGTCTCTAGGGATATACACCAAAACTTCGGCAAGGAGGAGAGGGGGGAGAGAATTGAAGTTACTTTAAAAAAAAAAAAAAAGATATTGCGGTATTGTTGGATTATGCCAATTCTTCGATGTATTAATTACTTCAATAATTTAAAAAATTACAATCAGATTTAAATATGAAAAAGCCTAAGTTTCCATTGGTAAGAAAACATATGAGTGTGTTTAAACAGTAAATTAAAAAAATATAAGTTTAAAAGAGGCACCGTTTTTTGACTAGTAAAACAGCAATGTTTTTAAAATGTACTCAGTACAGGTGACAGTATGGTGAAAAAGATATTTCAGGCATTAGCACTGAAATATAAACTGGTACCCTACCCTCCATTTAATTCATATTTACAACATGCAGTTGTAAGATATAACACAGAGAACTCTCATAGATCTTTATCCACACTGTTAAAAACAGTTTGTTAGTGCAAATTAAGAATCTTAAAAATATTCACATCTTTAATCCAGACCTCATTTCTTGGAACCTATCCTAAAAGAAAAACAATTCAAAAGAAAGAAAAACCTATATGCATAAAAATGTTCATACAATACCATGTGTAAAATATAAATACTTCCATATGTATAATTTACATATACATATTATCTATGAATTACTAAACAATTGTTTTCTAAATAAAAAATAAATTATTTACTTAATGAAATATGTCCACTACATGCAATACAGCCATCAAACCACATTTGTGTAAACGATGTGCTAACTGTCATAATAGCTACGATATACTGATTTTTAAAAATACAATTCTGGGGGTAAAACTTAGTAAAAGTTGCCATATACAGTTGGAAAGTGGTGTGAGATTATGACTGATCCTTTGTTGTTTTCAAAAACTCTCCGTAACATCATTTCAAACTTAATTTTTTCCTGATTTTTCAAATTCAAGTTTTCCTACTTTTGTCAGAATTTAATTTGGGAAGAAGGAGAAAGTAAGAGATGACTATTGTTAGTCCAGTAAAAATGACTAACTGCCCAGCGGGAACAGCAAACTTTTGTTAGGAGATAGCCACTTACTTGCATCTTTGTCTGGAGAAGGAGGAGGGACTCTGTGCCCCAGGCCAGTGCTATTGAAAGGTTGTGCCAGCTTCTCCAGGGGCGGGGTGCTGTCCATTAGCTCCCCTGCTCCCCTGGGGGTGCCGAAGAGGTCCTGGAGGTCCTTTCTTTGTTTGGATTCTTGGAGGGCACTCTCAAAAGATTTGTCTTTGAGTCTGAGGGAGGAAAAGAGCGAGATTTTTCCCTTTGGAACCCTAGAAGCATCTGGGGACGTCTCTTGCAAACTCACTTTCTCAAGGAGTGTGGGGACATCTTCCATCTTGTGGCAGGGAGGGGCCGGGAATGCCGGAAAGACCTTGGACGGTCGGTTGGGCAAACTGTGAGTGCGGAGGGCAAGGTCTGGAGGGCTAGGGTATGAGGGCTGGGCATCCCTGGCAGGTGGGGAGCCCCAGGAGAAGAAGGCTGAAGCTCTACTCGCCATGTCTCTCCCCGGGGACTGCCGGCTGCCATCTTTATTGGAACTGGTTTTTCGAAGGCTGAACGAGCGACTGCTACCATGTGGCTGGCTGGTGGGCAGGTTCCTTGATTCTGGCTTGGCAGAGGCCTTCTTCCCACCTTCTGAGTTGGGGAGGAAGGGATCCAGGGACCTTCGCAAGACATTTGCTATGAGCCGAAGCGGGGACTTGGGTGGAGCCCGTTCAGCTGGTGTCCCCGTCTTCTCCTGAGCCCTTCCCTGGGCAGGCGGGGTCTCTCTCGCTGTCCAGGGGAGCTGCAAGGGACTAACTGGTTTCGGCACATGGCCTCCCCTACCATTGCCAGCACTTCTCTGGGCAGGCTGTGCCCCAGCTTCCAGGCTCACACTCTCAGGGATGGAATTGTCCCAGTCCAGTAGCTTTGTCTTCTGTTCCGGGGTGAGGACTAACTTCTTCAAGCCCAACTTCTTCCCCTCTGCCAGCTCTGACCTTTTCTCCCCTCCCTTGCTGGGTCTGCTGTTCTTTTCTCCTGGGTCCTCTCCAGCCCTGGGAGATACCTCTTGGTCTGGCAAACACCTATTCGTCCCTCCAGTGGGGTCTGGGCCTCTGTGGATGCTACTGGTGTCCCCAAGAGAGGCCTCTGCTTCGTGACACCCATGAGAAGCCATCTCTGCTGGGCTGGGGGGCTGGGGGCTGGCAACGCTGTCTTCACCAGGCCTCACCATGAAGTACTCTGCCCGCTCCAGTACTTGGCCATGGGGCAGATACAGGGACATGTCCTTGGGTACCCCTTGGGCTCTGGCGCGCCTCAGAAAGATTGGAGTGGAAGGGCTGCAGTGACCTCTTGAGACCTGTGAGGGCAGGTTGTCAGCTGTCACCTAGAGCGGATGGGCAAAATGAATGCATATTTAGGAACTCCCAATATTTATAAGGGGAGGCATATCTCAGCCCACAGACCCCCTCCCTTCCTCTCTTCAGATCTCAGCTACCCAAAGTCTAAAAGAATTCTGCCCAGGATGATTTCAAAGGGCGGCTCTTCATTCTAAGTGGCTGCTTTGGGACCTGCTGGGATCTGCCTGGAGTCCCTGTACCAGCACTGATCAAAGGCTTTGTTGGGTGCTGGATTAGGTAGGTAAGAAGCCATAATGGAAGGCAGAGGCATGGACAAGCTGCCAGGCTGGCCAGGTGGAGCCGGCCTGGCCCCTGTGAATGGCTAGATGTGTATGGGAGGACAGATGCTCCATGACTGGCTTGGCCATGGTCCTTATTAAGGGGCACCTTGCACCCATAGGTATGTTCCTCCAACAACCAAGAGGCGAAGGTTTCTTCCTTGGAGACTACTAAGTTAAGGAGAGACAGTTACCCTTCTGGGCTGGAGCTGTGGTGGCAGAAGAGTGGCCTTTAGGTCTTTTCAATGACCCTTCTAGACCTGACTCATGCCTTGCACCACTCAGAAAGTAGTCATTTGTAGCATGCAAGAAGGTGGCCCTTGGCAAAGGAAGAGCTTAGGGAAATTCTAGAAGTGGCTGTGCCCTGCCAAGAGTGCTGGTGCCTGAGGGGCAGGTCATAGGACAGGAGCTTACGAGAGCATGTACCTCTTCCCATCTTGTGCACTCTATTTGCCAGAGCCTGGACCACGGTCTAGCAGGTAACAGAAGCTTGATAAACTCATGTTGAAGGTAAAGTCCAAACTGGAGTATCTCAGTGATACCATTTTCTGTTCAAGGGGGATGTGCTTCCAAGAGTCTCTGGTGCCACCAAAGGGAGCCTCAGTCTGTGTCTGCCTTCCTTCAGCTGTGAGTTCCTCAAGGTCGCCTGCTAGGCCCTCAAGGGTAGAGCTTATATCCTAGCAACTCTGCACGCCACAGTCTTGCCCAGAGTCTGTGCTCCACAAAGTCTGCTGAGTGAGTGGCTGTGCCCCAGGGCTGGCTGAGAAGGAACAGGATGACTGAGCTCTCATGAAAATGACAAGTCAAAAAGGCCTGGGGGGACGCTTGACAGAGCATCTCATGGCCCTGGCTTTGCACCTGGGTGACCCAAGAGTGCTAAGAATCCAAAGTTAAGTGTGGAAGTGGGTGAACTATGAGCAGCTCACCTTCTTAACACCTGCACAGGGCCCCAAAGGGTATTTACCTGAGGTAGGGAGAAGCCATCCAGAGCATTCCCTGGGATGCTGGCTGAAGAGAAAGATGGCGGGGAAGATGGGGGAGGAGATGACGAGGAAGAAGAAAGAGGAGCAGGTTCCTTTGAAGGTGACATAGTTTTTTTGTTGTTCACTGGCGTCAGACCTACTGAGGAAAGAACACACTCTCCGTTACAGAGCTCTTATTATCTTACTTTATCACAAAGAGATTTTAAGAGAAGCTCCAACTTGGTAAATAGAGTCAGAGGGAGGAAGGTGTTGGAGACTGAGAGGCTCTGGTGCCCAGAGTTTGACCTTAGGAGGAACGGGTGAGAAGTGGCAGCCTCCTGTGGGGGAATGGAGGTCAGAGGATGAAAAGTCTAGAAACCATCACACTTCACACTCACAAGGATGTTCCCGAAAGACTGAACAGGGAGTCTCCGGGACATCTCTTGGAAATGGATGCCTACTTCTAAAGTTTCCCCTAAAGCCGTCGTATGTGGGGTCTGGACTGTGTTAAGTCACTTAGTCAACAAACCACCTGAGGCCTCTTCCCACAAAATACCAGATCCTCAGCTGTGGGCGTGGGCAGGGTGGGCCATCGCCAATAATGAATCCGGCTCTTCCTTCTCATGTGGGCGCCAAGGGGCTCTCCGATGAGATGGTTTGTTTGAGATTTTAAGAGAACACTAGGGAAGGAGGTTATAATGAGCATCAAATCATCTGAAGCATATGGCGTGGGGTTCATGCCAAGCTCCTGTTGGTCAGGGAAAGAACGAGATGCAGTGTGTGTACTCAGAGCGAAGTGAGAAAGGAGTGTGTGGCTGGGGCCCTGAGCACGCGCCGAATTCTGCCGTGTGGGAGCTGCAGTCCGTTGGTTTGGTAATTGCAGAATTGTGACAGCCATAGCCTGTGAGGTCAATCTCTCTCTCTCTCTCTCTCTCTCTCTCTCATGAGTTCACACACGCGCCCTCTGGGAACCTTAAATCTAAAATCTCAAGAGCTTCACTTCTGTAGACGACCATCCCAATGATATGTCCTCTGAGGGATTCAGAAAATGCCACACTCTGTTTTGGAATTGTCCTCTCAGTGTATGACCCTTCAGCCCAGCCACCTCTCCTGTGAACCCTCCTAACAAACGAGTCTGCCTCCTAGAGATTTCCCAGAACCTATGTGTGTGTATACCCACTCCTATCAGACTCCCAGCCTGCGGCCACTCTGCTGACCCATTCCGAGTTCCCTCCACGGTATCCAACCTTCAGATGTTAGCTCACTTCCTAACCCCAGACAGTCCTCCGGCCTCAGTTTCCCCAAAGCTCCTCCTGTAGAACCCATATAGACCAGGCCAACCGCGCCCGCAGAAAAGTTCCTTCCAGACCCATCTGGGTTCTTCAGGATTCTGTCCTGCTTTCTTTGTACATGCGGGCAAGTGTGTCAGAACACGTATCCCAGTCCTGGGCTCTGGAAAGACAGCCACCACACACATATGTTCCGCGGGCTTCCAAAGTGAAGCCCTCCAGAATGCTTCTGAGGAAAAGATAACCCAGGGGAAGAGATCCGAGGGTGGCAGGAAGGAGCTGCTGGGAGAAGGCCCCACGCTGCCAGGAGCCGATGCAGGGGAGGCTGGCTGGCCTGTCACCCAAACCCCCATTGCAGCCCACAATTAGATGGTTCGAGCCTAAAAAGGCAAACGCTGTGAGTCAGTTGTTGCCTTGCTTCCTGTCTTCAGCTTGCCAAATTCCTGCCGAATTCCTCCTCCTCCTCTTCCTTGCCCCCTCATTCCCTTCCCTCAGCTACCTCCTGAATCAAACTCCTCAGCTTGTCTCAGAGTCCCCTCAGCTCAACAGACTGCTTCTTTGTTCCCCCTAGGAGCTCTCTGGAACCTCTGACACAGAGCCAGGGACACCTTGGGAACCAAACCTGACAGGAAAGCCTTGGGGTTCATGAGGTCACGACCCAGGGCTGCTCCCTCTCTCCTTTTAATAATCCCTGCCCCCCACCCCCCACCACCAGGGAGTCCTCTCTGCACACTCGTTCCTCATGCACTGACTTCAGGAGAACTGGGACAGAGCTCGAGGGGACACCTGCCAGTCAAACTGCTACCTGGGAGGGAAAGGCCAGAGCTACACTGAAAGGCGACGGGAGATCTCACCTGCCTGAGGTGGCTGATGTCTTTGGGTTCCCTCAGAGGATGCAAAGGGGACCTGGAACCCCACCCTGCTTCACACCCACACCAGCTGGCTGACATTTTCCTCACATGAAGAACGGGACCGCTAGCGTTGCTTCACGGTGAGGCCGAAATGGATAAAAAGTGGCGCCCTGGGTAGAACGCAAAGTCAATGCAGCACGCTAGCTAAATATGAACTCCAATCCCTCTCTTCCTCCCACACACACAAGTTGTGGCCAATAATGACACCATTGAACTGACCTGTTCCAGAGGGGGCTGCGCACCCCTACCCTGGCCGGGATTTCTCTAACTCGTAGGCTCAGGGATTCCTCATTCACCAACTCAGATCCTTCCCTGCAGGTTCCTTCTTGTTTCCCATGGACGCTTGGCACGGTCCAGCCAGGCTGCCTCAGTCCCGGGTGCTGCCGGCCTTGCTGGTCCCATCACGCCAGGGCTTGATGAGCAGAGCAGGCCTGGGTTATGGCCCTCAAGGCCCCTTTGGCTCAGCTGTCTCTTCTCTGGGCCCTCTGGCAGTGACCTCTCACCTTGGCTCTAGAGGTCACTGTGACTATGGTCAGCAGGGGAGGGTGAGAAGGGCACTGACACAGCTCCCTCTGTCCTCCCACCAGTGCTGGGGCCAGAACTGTCCTTGACGGGGCAGTGAATGGACCCAGGAGACGGCGCCCCGGGTTCTGCTCCTTACTACAGTAGGACCAGTGTTGCCCCCTGGGGTTTCCTCTTGGGCAAAGTGAAGATGACAAAATGACGCTGTGAGGATTCTTACAAAGACCGGGATTCCAGGGTGCAGCTTCCCAGAATTTGGAGTTTAGGCAATGCTCCAGTCTCCCAAGGTCTCAGAGCGCCCTCTAGGGGCAGCTGCCTGCACAGGCGGAGCCCACGGGCTCTGTTTGTTTCTGCACCAGGTCCAGCCACCTCATTCCTTGGTTCCTGTGTTTGTTCCCTCATTTATACTCAATCATTCAGCAAGCAACGACTGGACACCTCCTCTGGGCCAGGCCCATAGAAACGACCCCAACTGAAGGCTGCCCTCAAACCAGCTTTTACATACACTTGAGAACCAGCCTCTGGGATAACTTGAGACACGCCGATGCCCTCAGGGGCATCCCAGAAACCATGCTGCTGGTTAGCCGTCCTCTCTCTCCCGTGCCTCCTCCAGCATCCCCTAACCTGCTAGCAGGGGTCCCCACCAGACTCACTGCTAGTACCCCAAGGAACTTCTCGAGGGCAAAGTAGAGCCCCTTGTACTAGCGGCACTCATTGAAGTCAACTGTTAGCACTGGGTGAAATCCGTACCCAAATGGACCGCCCACGCCACAGAAGCAGAATTCTCACCTGCCTGAGGTGGGGTGTGATCTGAGGAGGGGCTGGTGAGGGAAGGGGAAATGGAGTGACCTGGGCCTTCAGTAAACATTAAATCCCCCCTTTTCTCATCACCCTCAGTGCCTGGGACTGCAAGATGATTCCAGAGTCATTTCAGGGTGCCCCGGGTGGGGTGGCTTGCTGGTGTGCCACTGTAGTCCAGCTCCAGAGGCACCCATTATCCCAGCCTCACCCAAGGGAGGGGAAGCCTCGAATCTGAGGGTTGCTGGGATAATGAATGACTCATGGGCCAGGAGTCCGCGTTGACTCAGAAGGAAGGAGCCAACTAACTAGTGCTCTGTTCCAACTTCAACAATGGCTCTTTTTAGAAACTTTTGTCTAACCCAAGGCTTTCCTGGGTCCATCTCTCCCAGAGCAAAGCCCAGAGAGAGAGTGTGGGGGCAGGGGAAGGTGGAAGGGGGACTTGGAGATGGATTAGAGGGCCTGGGAAGGGATGCCTGCCCTGTAAGGGAGGCCCCACAGAGACTGCAGCCAGCCCCAGAATGCGGTGACCCCATGAGTGGGGTTGCTGCGCCCCCTAGTGGTATATCCAGATGCCTTGGTGTCCGTTGTAGTCACTGGTCCTCACCCAACCCTGTTCTTCTCAGGGATGCTGGGATCAAAGCCTGCTCAGAGAAAGCAGCAGGTGTGTTTGTACGGATGGGTGTGTGCATGGATGTGGGTGCGGCTTCCTTCATTGCTATGCCCATGACTGCATGAGGTCATTCAGCTGATCCTGTCAATCCAACTTGAGTGCACAGAATGAAAACACATAGAAGCTCTGGGTCTCGGTTTCCTCATCTGTTTCAAAAAGCTTGCAGCCAATCATTACTAACACCCTTTCCAGGTGCAACAATAGAGCTCTAAGGTTCCATGATTCCAGACTGGGGAGCTGAAGGAGAAAGAAAGGTCCTAAATCCTTGGAAAATGCTTCCTCGAGTCAGCCGTGGAAACAGTCAACCTTCTATTTCTTTCCTTGCCCCTAACATCCCAGAGGCCAGGTCAGAGAGGACACGCATGGAATGAGAACAGCTGCCCTTGAGAATTGACCAGAAGACACTGCCCATGCCCCTCCCCGCCCACTCCCAGAGAGCTCATGACTCACTCGACTGGAATTTTCTTCTCCAGCTCTGGTATTTGCTGGGACTTGGAGACTGGAAGCTACTGGCCCGTTGCAGAGCTATAGTAGAAAAAAAGAAAGGGGGAGAGAAGACCGGGAGGGAGGAAGTTAAACTTACAGGAAAACTATGGGGTTTTCTCCTGTGGCACATTTTATAGACTAATAGTCATAACTGACTGAACCCCTTCCTTTTCTAGACTGCATCTTCCCATCCCTACGACACATACCTCCCACCTTTTTATTTGGTCTCATATTGAGACCCTGCTTTGGGACAGGTACAGTGATCATTCAGAAGATGCCTCAAATTATGAGCCATCATTCTAACTCACCCATAATTAAGATACATGTGTCCCTGTGTATGTGCACACATGTATTCACGCATGCCCATATATATGCGTGTTTTTGTGCACACTTGTATGCTCGTTTTCAGCAAAGCAGTTCTTCAAAGCTGGTCTCACATCAACGTCCCATATATGGAGCAGACAAACTGGAGTTGCTCTCACTGAAGCCTGGAAGCTCCAGGAAGTTCTACGTCCTCTCCCCCTCCCCCACAAAGCCTCCCAAACCCTTCAGGAACCAGGATTCCACGGACTGTGTACTGAAGAGCCTCCACTCAGGTGGGTCTTGAGAATTAGCTGAGCGAGATGAATATCATATGGAGAAGAACGTGGCCTTGGCCGTTCTTGCGCATGTACCCCATTCCCACTCTGGGCCCTCAGATTTGGTCTCAGGCTCCGGGTCCTTGTGGCGGTTCCTTCATACCCAAGAGAAAGAATGGGGAACCGCATGCACACAGGTGGGACAAGGAGGCGTGGAAGGAAAGAAAGCCCCAGGAGTGGTGTGGGTGTGGGAGAACGGGGTCGGGGAGGTTTGAAGCCAAGGCCCAGCCCTCTCTTGGTAAGAAATCCTGGGTCCCACACCCTGCCAGTGCTCAGAACTGGGCATCAGCTCTCATCAGCCAGACTGTGGGGTGCAGATGGCAATCCCTTCTGGGGGCTTCTCTTCCTTAGGACAAGATATGCCAGCTCCTTCGGTCCCTGACTCCCCTCTTTCCCTTACTGTCCCTGGAGACCACATGAGCCTGTTCTGTCTGGTGGGTTCTTTGTCCCACAGGCCTCCTGTCATATCGAAGCCACGGGTTTGAGGGGGAGCTGTGTGGAGGGGTGCAGGGCCCAGCCTCCTCTCCCCCCACCCTCCAGTTTGGGCCTGTTTCTCCCTTCTGCAGGCGCAGGGCGGGGTCAGCCTGGCTGGACAGTGTGCAGCAGGGGCATGCGGGCCTCTGGGAAAGCTACCTCCTGCCGACCACTACTACAGCCCCTCCGTCTGCTGGTGGAGAAATTTCCTGAGAAATGTAGAAGGCAGCTTCAGGCTCCTATTTTATTGCTTCTCCTCAGCCTTTTCACTTTGTGGAATGGAACTTATTAAAATTGGCTAAAATTCACAAGCGATTTTCCATAACTGGTGTTTATAGGACACACATGTGCACATTTTTAACCACAATAGGAACAACAGGGTGGGTAGCAATGATTCGATCCAGTCGTTTTGAGCAGCATAAAGCAAGCCCGGTTCCCTTTTTCATCTTATATTTTATTTATATTTATTTTTAGGGAGCACTTTTGGAGCTCTTACTTCGTGACCCGCTACAAAAGGAGTAAGGGGTAAGTATCTTGCCATATGGTGTTAATGATAATAATAATATTGTTTTATTGTTACAAACTAGCAGTATGCCCTGTAGGTCATCGGACCATCCCTGTTGTCAAATTATTGCCAGAAAAAAAAAAATGGAGAAATACCGATTTTTCTAAAGCAGAATAAGATGGGGGCAGTCCGCCCCCCAACTCTGATTTATGCCCCAAACCCACGCGATTGGTTCATTTAATTGTTTCAGTGTGCACGTCACAACAAACTGACGCAGACAGGCCCTCTTGGAAGCTGCTCTCCTGTGATCCCTGAAGTGTAGGATGTGGCTCCCCTGCATGGGAGCAGATGGGGTGCTTCCGTAAAATGCACATACTTGGCTCCACGCTAGACCCACCAGATCGGAATCTCTGTAGGTAGGAACCTACGTATCTGCCTTTTAGACAAGATTTCAAAGATCCACTGAACTAGGTGTTTTGGGGGAGCATTACTGAACCTTTTCCACTGAGCCCCAATAACACAGGGCTTACATTTCAGGCCATCCTCTTGGGGATGCTCTGTACTAAAGAACCTTGAGGATACAGTAGCTTCCTCGATGAGCCGAGGCAGTCCCAGAAGTCTTTCCCTAAATCGTGGAGAAACGCTATGTAACACAAAAGGTACCATTTTTGCCATGTTAGAGGCGAGCTCGGTGCCGTAAGATCATACACACTGTTGTTCAACCGTCACCGCTCTCCACCTCCAGAACTACTTCTTCATCCCAAACTGAAACTCTGTATCCACGAATCTAAACCCCCACTTTCCTACCCCCTGCCCCTGTCATCACCATTGGACTCTCTCTATGACTTTGACTATTCCAGGTACCACACAGACATGGAATCATGTAATGCTTGTTCTGGCTTGCGTGTCTGGCTTCGTCACTCAGCATCATGTCTGCAAGTTTCATCCACGCTGGACCGTATGTCAGAGCTTCCTTCCTTTCTGACACTGAATAATAAATAGTTCATTATATGGATGTCGCCCAATTCGTTTATGCACTCATCACTTGGTGAATCTGGGGGTCATTTCCCCCTTTGGCCATTGTAAATAATGCCGGACGAGCACGGGTGTGCAAACCAGGAATCTTCTTAAAGCGGGTTGGCCTGGCCTGGCATTCCCTCGGCTCAGCTCTGAGCCATTTACTCAAGTGAAAACTGTGGTGAGCGATCAACCCTATATGATCTGGTGAAGTAACCGATTTATCATAACCAGCCACACAAAACACAGCTCTGAGACCGTGCTGGAGGTTTTAACCTTTACAATGGGGTCTGTCTAGCAATGATCAAAAATGTGACTTGTGACGGTGAAATCAACAAAAGTTCGCTTGAAAGTCACGCAGTCTGTCCACATCTCTGTCTACTCTGTATTTTATCCTGGAATTAAGCTGGACTCTTAGAAACAAAAGTCTTCAGCCACACTGCCTTGTTGTCTTGACCCAGCCCCATCCCCCTGGAAGAACTCCTCTTACTGAGTCGTTTGTGGTCGTGATGCCCTCACCGGCCAGGCAGGGATGCCGCGCAAGACAGCCCCACCCAGGACGTGAACTCAAGCGTCTCCCAGTGCTGTCTGTTTGACACGAAGCACTAGGGAAAGGGCTACCAGATCTGGAACTTGCCACAAACCAATATGTTGTTTTTCTCATGAACAGTGAGAACAATGATTGTGTTTTGTTTTTAACTCTGGCTGCCAGAAAACTCAGGATCAAATTTATGATTCCCCTAGAGCAACTGCTTAGGACCACGGTCTGCCTCTCTGGGGTTTCTACCTCCTAAAATCATTTGGTTAACCCTGATCTTGAGGATTTATCTTTTAGAGAGAGAGAGAGATGGAGAATTTTGTTTTATGTCTTTCTTGTAAATTGCCTAAGATCCCCTGTTAATTGAGGAGCAAGGAGAAATGGAGGGAAGGAGTAAAAGGCAGGCAGGCTTCATATCTGTAAATGAGGAGGCTGGAGCCCAGGGAGACAGAGGCCAAGCCTGAGCAGACAGAGGTAGGCTGCCCCAGCCGGGCAGGGTACAGTGTTCTGTTCACTGGCCATGCTAAGCCCTTCCAGACCACACCACAATGCTATTGAGCAAATATGTTCGGATGACAATTGTCCCCTTTTTTTTTGAAAGTTCACAAGGAAGGTAAATCCAGAGTTTCCAAGAGGAAACTGCCTCAGCCCTGGTTTTCCTGGGAAACCAGCCCTAGGTTCGGGTGGAAATTCTGTTCTCTGCCACTAGAGGGATGTGCAAGACAAGTTGAGTCCTGGCTGTCCCAGGGCAGCCAAGGCCGCGGGTGCCCAAGGTGGCAAGTTTCTGTTCGCCTGCTTCTTTCCACCCCGAGCTCGCAAGCTGCTGTTGACCAAGTCAAAACATTCAAGGCCACCTTTATTTTTAAAAACTGGCTGCTAAAGACAACTTTTTAGGGTGTGGAGGCCCGTGGCCCTGGGCCACACAGCTTACCAGCTGTGAGACTTAGGGAAAACACGGTCTGTTTGCTCACAGGTAAAAGGGTGAGCTTACTTACCCCACAGGGTCGTCCTGAGGATGAAATGGGGCCACGTATGGGAAAACCCTCAGCTGTTAAAGGTGCTTAGTAGAAGTGCATTTATTACTGTGTAAACTTCTAGGGCATTCCACATGTTCCAAGCCTGGCTAATGCCCTGTGCTGCTCCTGGCTGCCTGTGGTCCAATGGCAGCTAAGCCCCATCCTTCCCTACTGGGCTACAGAACACCAGATGGGCCCCTAAGGAGATATGCAAAGAGGAGACTGTCCCAGGCAAGAGGGCGCTGGAGTCCCCTTATCTCCGCCAGCCTGGGACACACAACAGCCAGTCAGCCCCTCTGCCCCCTGCCCACTTGAGATTCCAAAGCTTCTCTGAGAGAAGAAGGCTGGGCCTGGGTCACTCCCACTTACACCCCAGCCCTGCTGCCCCTAAGCCCGAGGGCTGGACCTGTCACTGGATCCTCTGTGATGAAAAACTGGCTGTGGGGAGTCTCCATTCCTTCCCCATTTGCCAGGATCAAGCAAGCCTGGCCCCCACCCAGGCAAGCTCCCTGCTCACCGTGCACAGCTTGTGACTCCTCAGGGCACCGTAGCGAGACTTTCCTGGTCGAGGCCTCTCTCAGGGAGCTATGCCTGGTGAGGGGCTCCGGGAGGGGCAGCGGTTCTGGCCGCCGGGCGCTCTCCTCATGGGGTTGGGCACTGGAAGCCTCACTGCCGGGGTAGTCTGGCTCTGCCTCGGAGCTGGAAGGAGGAAGCACAGGGTGGGTGAGTGGGGAACCCTGCAGGTCACATCCCACACCCCACTGTGCCCTGCCTGTCACTGCCTCCCACAGACCAAGGCACTCTGGGGCAGCGAGAGTGGTTTTGTCACCTCTGCACCCCAAGCCCAGCCACAGGCTTTGTTATGGGCTGAACTATGCTCCCCAAAATTCATATGAAATCAGAACACCTAGGACCTCAGAAGGTGATTGCATTTGGAGATTGGGGCTTTAAGGAGGTAACTGAGTTAAAATGAGGTCATTAGGGTGAGCCTTAATCCAACAGGGATGGTGTCCTTACAAGAAGAGGAAATTTGGACAGCCATAGAAGAAAACATCCTATGAACACGGGGTCAGCCATTGACAAACTGAGGAGAGGGGCCTGGAACAGATCCTTCCCCCTCGTGGTTCTCAGAAGGAACCAGCTGTGCCAGCACTTGATCTTGGACTCCCAGCTTCTAGAACTGTGAGAAAGCACATCTCTGTTGTTCAAGCAACCAGGTCCATGGTACTTTCTGGAGCCCTAGCAAACAAATACTGGCGTGGATCCAAGCAGGAGAACAAAGCCCCACGAACATATGTTGACATGCTTGTGGGACGGCTGGTCTACCTGCCTTCAGCCATCCTTCAGCGTGACTCCTCAGCTCTCTGGGGCAAAATGAGCTTATCATTTAGGACCTGGTCCTAAAATGTTTGGCATTTGAGTGCTGCTCGTGTCCTATGGGAACGGATGGGAGGAAAAAGGCTTCGGGGTTGGAGGGGGAGTCTGGAAGCTGGGCCTTGAATGATGGGCCGGAATTCACGTGGCAGAGAAGTGGAAGTGGTGTGTCCTCAGCAGCAGGGACAGCACAGGCACAGTCCCCTGGGGGCCTGGGGAGGTGCCAACCTATAGGGCTGTGACTATTTACTGTCTGTGTATGTAAGTCAGCACGCATCTTTCCACTGGGCCACTGCTCCTTATCCATCTCTGTGCCCTGGTGGACTCTCCATCCATCCCAGGGCCCAAACCTGCCCTCCACAGTATCCCAGGGCTCTTCACTGATGGGTCCCAGAGGTAGTAGTACCCACTGGAGGTCTACCTTGAGCCCTTGGGACATGGACACGGACAGATGGTTGTAGGCTGAGGCCCTCTGTAACCAGGAGTTCCACATGTGGATATAGCCTCCTTGTGGATGCTTGTAAATCCGACATGCAAAGAGGCAACAGCAGAGAGCAGCTACTTGAGTTCTGGGCTCCAGCCTTGCCTGGAGAAAGGACTACCCTTGGACTTCCCAGCCAGAGGAGCCAAAGTATTTGCTTTGTTACTTAAGCTAGCTTTGGGTTTCTGTCTCTCACAATGGACATGGTCCTGCCTAACTGAGCTCTAGAAGGCTGTATGAGACTTGGGGCAGGGCCTTCCTTCTCTGGGCTTTGCCTTTTATCTCAGTGACTGCAGAGGGCACTCCAAAGCAGAGGTGCTCATGCTGACGTGTGGTTAGAATCACCTATGGGACTTGCTAAAATAAAATGTACGTTCCCAGGCCTCTCTTCCAGAATCTGAAGGCTCCAGACTTCATGGACTAGCTGTCTGCACGGCAGTATCCATATTCTTCCCTCACATTCTTCCCACACCTACTCCAGTCAGGTTTCTGATCCTCTTACTGGAAAAACCAGAGGTCGCTCCTCCAGCTCCTCCATTCTCATCTGAAACAGTGAACCACACTCTCCATCCTGAAACTTCTTTCTTCTCTTAGCTTCCACAACTCAGCCTCTCTTGGTTTCTCTCCTTCCTGGGTTTTGCCAGCATCTTCTCTGCTTGCCCACTGAATGTTCAAATGCCCTGGGGCCCTCATCCAGGCATAGCTCTTCTTTATCTATGAGAAGATAGCCTCTTTTTTTTTTTTTTTTTCTGAAGAAACATTCTTCCTCCACAGGTGACTCATCAACTCCCTTGGCTTTCATAGCCTCTATGTGGCACTGGCCCCTAAATCCTGTCTCTAGTCCTGCCTCCCAGAAACTTCTCTGTTCTACTGCTTGCTTGACAACTGTGCAAAGACATCTCAAACCCCACAGGTCCAAAACAAAACTCTTGATTTTCTCCACAGACCTGCATCTTTCTCCAGATCTCGTCCTCCTCAAGGCTACTCTAGAAATGACTGTACTTTTCATGCAGCACCTGGTGCAAAGTCTGGGAGTCACCCTTGGGCTCACTCTCACTTTTACGTTTAGTCCATTAGCAAATCTCCTCTGATCCCAACCTTGGTCCAAGTCCCTCATCTCTTACCTGCCCCACAGGCTCCCACCGGGTCTCCCTGCCTCCCCTCCCACCCACCTCTGCCCCAAGCATTTTCTGTACCAAGCCCTGCTGATCTTTGGAAATCATAGATAAGATGTCACTCTCTGACTTAAGAATTATCTAATGGCTTTCAATAGGACCTGGAATAAAGTTTAAAGTTCTTGTCCTATCTTACTCAGCCTTACTCCTGCCTTACTTTCTGGTATGATATCTTACTCTTCTTCCCCTCCTTGTGTGCCAGCCATGTTAGAAGACATCAGGCCCACAGTTGCCGCAGGGCCTATGTACTCCACTGCTTGGATGCCACTTCCTCTGTCTTCACATGGCTGTCCCTTCTTGTCAGCAATTCTCAGGTTAAATGTCACTTCCTCAGGGAGGCTGTGGTTTGCAGAGTGCCGGCAATCATTCCCCTCCTGGAGCCACACCCTTTTTCAATGGAACTTAGCAGCTCCTCCCATAATGGCAGAGCCAATTTCCCCACCCCTTGAATCCGGGCTGGACTTGTGACCATGCAGACTTGATTGAACAGCCAAGACCTCAAGAGACTTGGCGTGATTGTACCTTCTCACAGGACCATGTGAATAAGCACAGGCTGCCTGTTGGAGGATGAAAGACCCATAGCCCAGTAGCCTCCTGGCACCCCAGCTGACAGCTAGCCATGTTCTAAAAGTGGGACCCTGCTGGTCCAAACACACGGGAGCCCACTGAGACCAGAAGAACTGCAGGACTGAGCCCAACTGAATTGCTGGCCCACAGAATCGTGAGTAGAAGAAGCAGTGGCTGTTGGGTGCTTTGTTACTCAGCATGATTATGAGAACAGATAACCAATACAAAGGCCTTTCTTGGCTTCCTGATTGAAAGTAGCTGACTAGTCACTATCATAAACTCCTGTTTTATTTTTCAACCTGTAACAAAGGTGAGATTTCTCCTGTTAACTATTTTCTTGTTTGCTGACTGCCTACGCAGTTTGAACAAGAGCCCTGTGAGAGCAAGGCCTTTGTCTTATGTGGGTTACTGCTATATCCTCAGAGTTTAGTACATACTGAGCCATTGGTCCCTCTTGCTGGTTGACCTCCTGGATGAATTCGGTGTCTGGGGGTGGCCTGGAGTCAGCACTCCTGATGACCACTCTGGGTGGTTCTGGTAATGGCGCTAAGGATGTCATTCTGAGAAATACTCATTTAGGGCAGCAGGGCTTCACTTCTCATGCCTTCTCCCGCCCCTGGCCCAGCCTCCCCATCACGGTGCACTGCCATCTTACATTTTACTGTGACAGTGATGTCCACTCGGCACCCCTTGCTGTAGCCTACATCACAACTACCTTTTGGGGAGAAGACAGTGGGGCCAGAGCCTGTCCCTTCTCTGAGAAAACAGTGCTTATTATATGCCCAACATTGTTCTACGTGCTTTATGTATGATAATTGTTAGATCCTTACGATTGTCCATGAGACAGGTGATACCACTGTCTCCATTTTACAGATGAGAATATAAAGGTACAGAGAGGTCACATGGTCAGTGAGTGGAGAGGAGACTAGTCCATGAATGCTGTAGCTCTTGTCCAATCCCTCTTCTGTCCCCATCCTGCAGCAGCCTGAGCATACCTGCTGTCATCACTGGTGACCAGGACACGCACAGCCATCATCTCTTGTCCAACTACATCCTCCCCAGGGCTGATCTTCACTGAGGTCCACTCAGAGGGCAGGAGAGAGGTGTCTTCACCTTCCATATCATTGGGCTCGGGCTCCAGAACACTCTTGGGCTTCTTGGGGGAGGTTGGCTCATCTGCTGGGAGGAGAAGAGGGTCTAGAGAGATGATGGGAATAAATGAGCCCTACAGGGTACCTGCTTCCCAACCAGAAGATTGGGCAGGCTGCTGGGGGTGGGGAGGTAGGCAGGGAAGCAGGCTTTGGGTCTACTTGGACACTCTAAGACTGACCTTTTCGTCCTCTTTTCCTACCATTTAGTCTACCAGATGCCCCAGGATTTAGAGCACCTCTGTGTATAGGACATGAATACACACATTTTATTTAGTCCCATAGGAGGGTCCTGAAATGTTCAGAGGGACCACCCAGGCCCAATCTCTAGACTGCCATTGTCAAAAGCACAGTGTCCAACATACTTCTAAACCTGGTGGCAACTTCTCCATTCTTGTCTTGACACATCAGAAGCATTTGACCCAGTGGTTCATTCTCTCCTTCTAGAAACAGCTCTCCTCTCAGCTTCTAGGATAACACAGTCTGGCTCCCTTCTCCACAATGGTTGCTCTCCTTCCCTCCTTGTTTCTGTGCTGGTTATACCTTTCCCTGCATCCCCCTCCCGCCCCCGACCTGGTAACATTGGAAGGCCCCAGGGCTGTCTTTGAATCTCTTCTCTTACTCATGCCCATGATAATCTCATTTGGTCTCCTGGCTTCAAATAACCCTAGATAACAATGACTCACTCCTACATCTGTATTTCCAGCCTGGACATTTCCTCTGAATCTAGGCTTATATATTCCATTGCTGCCTTGGCCTCTCCACATGGATGTCTATGGACACATCAAACTCATGTCTGAGCGGAGCTCTTCAGCCACACCGCTCCCCAACCCTGCTTCCCCCATAGCCCTCCCCATCTCAGTCAATGGCGACCTTGGCCTTCCAGCTGCTCAAGTCAAACGCTTTCACAGCACCCTTGACTTCTCTTGTTCTTTCATTCTTCACTCAAATCATCAGCCAATCCTGCCGGTTCTACCTTCAAAATGGGTCAGGAATCCAGTCACCCGTCACCACCTCCTCTGCTACCACCCTGACAAAGCCACTGGGTCTCCCTGCTTTCCTTCTTGCCATGCTCCTCCCACCACTCCCCAGTCTTCTCAGCACAGCCACCCAAGTAACTGTCCAATGCATGTCAGATGATGCTCCCTTGCTCCACACCCTCCAATGTCCCCTGTGACCTCATCTCCCACTACTGCCCTGCTGTCTGCTCTGACCACGTGGCCACCCTACTGTCCCCCCATCTCAGCCCTTTGTACCGCTCCTGCCTCTTCCTAGGAGATGCTATCCCTGGACAGCTTCCCACAGGCCTTGCTCACTCACTGCGTCAAGTCTTTGGTCAAATGGCACTTTCTCCAGGAGGCCTACCCCTATTTTAACTGCAACCCATGTCTTCAGCACTCTCTTTATTTTTATTCATAACATATCTCACCTTCTAATAAACTCTGTAACTTTCTCTTTTGTTTATTGTGTCTCTCCCATGACTAGGACATGAGCAGTGATTTGTGTCTGTTTCCTTTCTTGCTAGAATGGTACCAGGTAAGGAGTAGATGCTCGATGAATGCCTGTTGAATGAATCAATGAATGAGTGAGCAAAACAGGCCACCTGAGGCCAGGTCCATTTGGCCACAAAATAGCTGGGTGGCCCCTTCTCTGGTCACAGTGGGACAGGTGTCTTTTCTTTTGATGGCTGACATCTCACTTGTACTTGGTTCCCTCCTCACCAACCCCCCCTCCAAGGAACATCACCTCCTCTTCCCTGTGCCATTGACGTCTATGTCTACTGGACCTTTTCCATCAGTATTTGCATGTGCTGAAGCCTCTCCCATTTTAAGGAAACTATTTTTAACCCAATTCCCATGCCTGGCCCCTAACCAACCCTTTATCCTCTTCCCCTCCTTACCAGCCAATCGTCTTGGAAGAGTCTGCTGCTCTCACTTTTTCCCTGTGCACCTTCCCTCACTCAACTCCTCAGTCCCCTATAAGCCTGCCTATGTCTCCATGACTCCCAAACTGTGTCCCCCCAAAGCCCTTGGTGGCCTCCTTATTGCTAAGTCCAATTCACAAGCTCTGGGGTCCTCCTGCAGCTGCTGCAGCCCTCAGCCCTCCCTGCTCTGGGCACCCAGTTCTCTCACTCCCTCCCTGGCTCCTCCATCTCAGCCACCCAGTCTCTAAGCCCTAAATGTTGGGTTTTTCCCACCTCCACCAGCAGGAGGCTGGCAACTCTCTAACTACCTTTACAATCGATGAAGATAACTCAAGAAATTTTTATTTTTATCTGAAGTGCCTCATGCTTTAAAAATATTGTACAAATCAAATAAAACATATCTCCGGGCACATGCTGCCAGTGCGTGGCCAGCTTGCCACTCTTGGCATACGTGCACGCTTGCTTGTGCGTGCGCATTTGCACACTTCTGCACAGGTGTGGCTGTGTGTGCGAGGCACTGGTAGAACAGGTGTGTAACTGGATGCTTGGCTCTGTAGTAGTAGCTGTAATAATATATTAATAATAGGAGCAGCTGACTTTTATTGAGCACCTTTATGGAGAAACGTTTTAAGTGTTTAAGGCATATTAAGTCTATTAAACTTCAGAGAACCTTCTAGACAAGTATTATTATCCCCATTTTGCTGATGAAAAAACAGATGCCCAGAGAGGTTAAGACATCAGAGCACAGGGATCCGTCTGTATGGCTGTGAGCAGAGCAGAACCGTAGACACCAATGTGCGTGACCTTTATTCTGGGAGTTTGGGCTGGATTACGTTCCTGATTTTCATCCCCTCTCCATAACAGAGCTGTGCTTTCTCTTCTGTGACCTTGCAGTCCTTCCTACAAGGGGTGCTTGGTAGGCCTCCTTGCCCAACTGACATGGGACTTGGCTGTGACACTTGCTTTGCCCAGTGGAAACGAGTGGATGTGACGTGAGCAGTGGCTTCAAATGACCTTGCTGTTTGGCTAGTGTACCCACACTCTTGTTAGTTTGCCATGAGAAGAGCTTGTCCCAGGTGGCTGCTGCCTCCGCAGCCGAGGTCCCTGACTGTGGGCACAGGGAGAATATCTGAAGCCTTGCCTAGCCAGTCCCACGGGAGCCCAGACCACCCTGACCCCTACAGCTTGAAGCAGAGCTACTCGCCGACTGCACAGACCCACAAAAAATAGATGCTATGAGCCCCAGCAATTCAGGAGGCTTATCACACAGAATTAGTCTATACCTGCCTTATACCTGAGTTCAGGTGTGTGTGCCTCAGCAGGCTGCACAGAGACCTGTATGGTCAACAGATGCCCCGTGGCCTCCTCTGACCCAGGCCTGTGCTGGGGATTTGGAGATGAATCAGCCATGCTCTGCCTTGAGGGGTCTCTTCCCATCCCAGGGGTGGGGGATGGGGCATATTCACAGCTGCCTTATCAGGGAGACCATCTAAGAGTCAGGCGAGACAAAGTGAAAGGGGAGGGAGATCTGACATCTGTACAATGAACACTTAGGCGGAAGGCACCATTTTAATGGGTTAAGGATGAGTAGGATCTGAACAGAGAAGGGATAGACGATGTTCCATGGGATGGACCTCTGTGAGCCAAACCAATGAGGAAAAGCACTACCGTCTTCATGGAAACAGAAACCACGTCTCCATGGCCGGAGGGCAGGAGAGTGTATGAAAGAAGCCAGTGGGACGTCATCCCATTGATGTGGAACCAGTAAGGGCCTAAAGGACAAAGTGAAATGTGCAGAGCAGTGCCCAGAAGTTTGGAAACTGAAGACTGGCGTCATCGGAGTGGCCTCATAGAAAGATGGCTCTGGTTGCTGAGTGGAAGGTGGACCGGAGGACCCACCAGGTGGGGAGAGGGAGACCAGGGAAAGGGCCATGATAACTTGGAGAAGAAGGAAAGGCTGAGCATGCGTGGCCGGAGAAGAGGGGAGCAAGGCCAGCGAGAGCAGCCCGGGGGGTCAGAGCAGCTGCGGCCAGTGGAGGGGAGCTGGGCCAGGCTGTGCTGACACCACCTCAGGGACCAGGCAAACCTGTGAGGGAGAAGCCAGGGGTCTGCTTGTACCCTCCCTCCTCCTAGAAAGTCTTGACCTGGCCATCAGGGCCAAGGGGGTGGAATGGGGTAACGGCTCAGGCTGGAGGGGTGGGGACATGGCTGACCCATGAGCCCTTGGGACAGTGGGGTCAGGACCAGCGTCTCCCACCATAGAGCCCAGTATCAGTGGAGGGGTTGGGGCAGGGGGAGATAGAGACTTGGAAAAAAAGAAGCTGGGACTTTCTCTGATCAACACCTCACCGAGGTAAAAAAGTCCCAAAGACAGACATCCTCCTCTCCTCCCTTCTGCCCCCCAAGGCCTGGGCCAAAGGCTACAGCTGGGTCTCTGGGGTTTGGTGCTATGCCCCAGAGTAAATCACTCCTCTCAAGCTCCTCCTTCCAGACCCTCTCTCATTCTCTGGGGACTCCTGTCCGCACACACAGACCAGCAGCCCCAGTACAAGCGATGGGAGTAGTCTCAAGGCAACAACGAAAGTAACATCAACTCATTCTCAAGGCCTTTATCCAGGCTCAGCGTCCCTAACATCCCGAGAGCCTGAAAGGTCAGTGTTGTCATCTTCACTGCATGAGTGCAAGACCCTGGTGCCCGGAGTAAAACTCAGCCACAGACCCCCAGTGAGTCAGCCGGATTGGCCGCCGCAGGGATACACAGTGGCTTTGTCAGCGGCCAGGCCAGGGGAGCGGCCAGCTGTGCTCACCTACCTGCCCTGCCTCCCCTGGGCCTGTCTGCAGTTTGTCCAAGATTTTGCCAGAGCTCTCCGTTTCCATAGGGAGACGTTAGGTCTGCAGTGGTGGTGGGGGGGGGTGGGGGCTGCCTGGGGAGGAGGTGTGCAGGGTGGGGAGGGAGAAAGATCCAGCAGCAACCTGGCATCCTGCAGGCAAGCAGGTGCTCTCAGAGCCGAGACTCTTGGTCTCCTACCAGTGCTCCCTGGGGAAAGAGATTATGCCAGAGGCAGAGCCAGCAGTGTCTGTCCTCACATGCTGCCCCCAGTAGCTGA